CCTGCTTCTTCCGCGACCGTTCCACGCTCACGCCGCTTGCTGCACCTGCTGTTGTCTCTCTCGCTGACCCCTCTGCGGGTCCGGTCGTCGCGCGCAGTTCTACGTCCCTTCCCTGTCCGGCAGTTCCCTCGGGCTCCCTTACTGGCCTCCACGTTCCCTCGTTCTCCAGGAACCTGGTTGGTGTCGGCTGTCTCCAGGACCTCGGCATCACCACCACGTTCCCCAGGCACGAGCGGTTCGCTGTCTGTTCTGAGGCTGTCTCAGGTTCCCCCCTTGCGACGTTCCCCCGGGACCCGGTGTCCGGTCTGTTTACCCTACACACCGCTTCCCCCCCGGTTGGTGCGTCCTCCCAGGTCGCTGCAGCTTGCTCGTGTCGGTCCCTCACTCACCCCTCCCTTCTCTGGCACCACCGCTTAGGTCACCCTGCTCTCCCGCGTCTGCGTCACATGTCCCAGCACGGTCTTGTCTTAGGTCTCCCCGCGTCGCTCCCTGCCCTTCCTCCCTCGACTGCGCCACCGTGCACGCCTTGCGTCGAGGGTCGGCTCCGCCGTGCTCCTCACTCCTCCTCGCTGCGTCCTGCTACTGCCCCCCTTCAGACCCTGCACTTGGACGTTTGGGGCCCTGCCCCCGTCCCCGGACCGCGCGGTGAGCGCTACTTCCTTGTGCTTGTCGACGACTACACGCGCTACACCACGGTGTTTCCCCTGGAGCGGAAGGCCGACGTGCCCGACGTTCTTCTCCCGTGGGTTGTGGCTGCGCGTCTCCACCGCGGTCTCCCCGTGTTGTGTCTCCACTCCGACCGTGGCGGCGAGTTCGCCTCTGGTCGGCTTGGACAGTTCTGTCGTGCGGAGGGCATCACCCAGTCGTACACCTTGCCGGACTCGCCACAGCAGAATGGGGTTGCTGAGCGCCGCATCGGCTTGGTCATGGAGGTCGCCCGTACCTCCATGATCCATGCCGATGCCCCCCATTTTCTGTGGCCGTTCGCTGTTCGCTACGCGGCTCACCAGCTTAACCTGTGGCCACGCTCCCAGCGGCCGCAGGTTTCGCCGACCCTCCTTTGGACCGGGTCCCCCGGTGACGCGTCTGCGTTCCACGTCTGGGGCTGCCTTGCTCACGTTCGTGCCTCTGGCACGGACAAGCTCACTGCCCGCACTGTCCCCTGTGTCTTCCTCGGTTTCCCCCTGGACTCGTCTGACTGGCTTTTCTACCACCCGCCGTCTCACCGCTTCCTCCACTCTCGTGACGTCACCTTTGATGAGTCCGTCTCCTTCTACCGCCGCTTCCCTCACCGAGGTCTCCCAGTTGCCCCCCCCCTTTTCCTTGCTCCCTCTCCCCCGGTAGCCCCTGCCCCTCTCCCGCCTCGTCCTGCCCCGTCTGGTGTCTCCCACGTCACTCCCCTCCCGTCGGTTGTCCCCGTTGAGGAGTCTGCTGACTCTGGTGGTACCCCCGGTCCGTCCTTGCCGCGTCCCCCTTCCCCGGTGCCTCCGCCCCCACTGTCGCAGTCGCCGACCCCGCTGCCGCCGCCGTCGCCGTCGCCGCCGCAGCCGTCGCCGCTTTCGTCGTCGCCGCCGCCGCTGTCGCTGCCGCAGCCCTCGCCGCTGTCGCCGCCGCCGCAGCCGTTGCCGCCACTGCCGCCGCTGCTCTCGGCCCCTGGGGGTGCTGGTGTGGAGGAGGGTGTTCGTCCTGCGGCTTCTGGGGGTGCCGCTGGTGTTGGAGGGGGTTCTCGCTCTGGGGGTGTTGGTTCTGGGGGTGCTGCTGTTGAGTGTTCTGCCGACGGTCGTTCTGCCTCTGCTGGTCCGAGAGTTCCGGCCCAGCCGTCGTCGCCGCCGCAGCAGCCGTCGCCGCCGGTTTCCGCTCTCCGCCTGCTCGGCCTTCCCTCCCCGGACCGCGCGCCGGTGTCTCCCCCACCGCCTCCTGACCTCCCTGTCTACGGTCCTGTGTTCCCGCCGCCAGACTCGTCTCCGGCCCGTCTTCCTCCTCGTTCCCCTCCTGTGTCTCCTCCGCTGTCCCCTGACCCTACCCCTCCGTCTCACGTTTGGGCTCGCCGTCCCTCCCGTGCTCGTCCCGTCTCTCCTGTCCTGCCCACCCACCCTATGTTGCTCCGTTCCCACTCGTCTCGTCCTCCCCTCCTCCCGTCCCCTCCTCCCTCGTCCCTTGCTGTTGCACCTCCTCTGTTCTCTGACTACCTCCGTGCTGCTCGTCCCCTTGTCCCTCGGGTCCTTGCCTCTCTTGTTACCGACCCTGCTGTTCCTGTCTCGCGCCTTGACGCGCTTGTCGCTGCTGTCGCTGACTTCGCTTCTACCCGCCGCCTTGACTACGCTACCGCTCTGGTCTCTGACCCTGCCCGTCCTCTGTCCGTCAGGGGTGCTCCTGCCCTTGGCAGTGACGTCCTAGAGGACAGGCAGTACGAGCTGGCTTTCCTTTCCGAGGCTGCTCCCCATCTCTGCTCCATGCTGTTAGTCCCTGAGGGTGACCCAGACGCCTTCGACATCCCGACCCCTCGCACCTACGCTGAGGCCACCTCGGGACCTTGGGCCTCTCAGTGGATAGCTGCCATGGAGCAGGAGATGGCATCTTGGAGATCCACCGGCACTTACGTCGACGCAGTTCCCCCGCCTGGGGTGAACGTAGTCGATGGTCGGTGGCTCTTCAAGGTGAAGCGCCCCCCTGGAGAGCCGCCTGTCTTCAAGGCGCGCTACGTGGCCAGAGGTTTCAGTCAGCGCGAGGGGGTTGACTTCTTCCAGACCTTCGCCCCGACCCCGAAGATGACCACTCTTCGGGCGCTGCTACACGTAGCAGCACAGCGTGACTACGAGCTTCACTCCCTCGACTTCTCTACTGCCTTTCTTCAGGGCAGCCTACACGAGCAGGTCTACCTGCGCCGACCACAGGGCTTCACTGGTACCTTCCCTCCTGGGACCCAGTGGCTTCTCAGGCGCCCGGTCTACGGCCTGCGTCAGGCTCCCCGCGAGTGGCACGACACGCTACGTGCCACGTTAGCAGACCTGCAGTTCTTTCCGTCCTCTGCTGACCCTTCACTGTTTGTGCGTTCCGGCCAGACTCCGTTCTACATCCTTGTCTACGTAGACGACCTGGTCTTCGCTACTCCTGACAGGGACGCACTGGCCTCTGTGAAGGCTGAGCTGCTGAAGAGACACACCTGCACTGACCTTGGAGAGCTGCGTCGCTATCTTGGCCTGCAGATCTCTAGGGACAGAGCAGCACGCACCATCACTCTGACCCAGTCACACTTGGTGCGTCAGGTCCTTCAGAGGTTCGGTCTTCAGTTCTCCTCCGCACAGCCCACACCTCTACCCGTAGACCATGGGCTCTCTGCTCCCGTTCCTGAGGAGCCAGTAGAGCCCAGTGGCCCCTACGCAGAGCTGGTGGGTTGCCTCATGTACCTGATGACTTGCACTCGCCCAGATCTCGCATACCCTCTCAGCATCCTGGCTCGCTTTGTGGCTACAGGCAGACACCGACCTCAGCACTGGTCTGCCGCTAAGAGGGTTTTGCGTTATCTTGCTAGTACATCAGGCATGGGGTTAGTGCTAGGAGGACGCAGGCCAGTGGTCCTTACTGGGCACACAGACGCTTCTTGGGCAGACGACGCTGAGACGCTCAGGTCGTCGCAGGGCTACTGTTTCAGCCTTGGTTCGGGTGCTATCTCTTGGAGATCCACTCGCTCGTCGTCTGTGGCTCAGTCTAGCTGTGAGGCTGAGATCTACGCTGGTGCCATGGCGGCACAGGAGCTCCGCTGGCTGACCTTCTTGCTCACAGACTTAGGTGAGCGGCCTAGCTCTGCCCCGGTCCTGTACGCTGACAACAGGGCCATGATACTCCTGTGTCAGGAGCCTCGGCTTGAGGGCAGAGCGAAGCATATCCAGCTGCGGTACTTCCTCCTGCGCGAGCTACAGCAGCGCCGCCAGGCCCGCGTAGTTCACTTGGCCTCAGGTGCCAACACAGCTGATATCTTTACTAAGGCACTTGCGCCTAAAGATCATCAGCGGCACTGTGTACAGCTTGGTCTTGTTCCTGTAGCTGCTCCCCTGTTAGGATCCTGATTGTGTACTCTCTATTATATATGCTTGTCAGACTGGCCTTGTGGCCTTACCTCCAGTGGCTGGACTAGTAGTGCCACCCTGGCTTGCTTCAGTTTTGGTTGTATTCTTGCTGACTGGTCTCCAGACCCCTGCCTCAGTGGTTGGACTAGTAGTGCCGCCCTGAGCTGTTTGCTTCTTGTTTAGTTTCACCCCTTGTCTAGCCTAGGGGGTGTGTCAACTTATACATATTATCTATGTAGAAGTTATAGGCTAGACTGAGGTATGCTTCTAGTGAGTACAACCAACTAGTATTTGTTCTAGGTTTCCACCTCTAGTAATCATTCGTTTCTACGTTAACAGCGCGATAGGGCCCAAGAGGGGCGCGGCTGGGCTAGGAGGCGCGACGGGGCCCAGGAAGGGGCGCGGCTGGGCTAGAAGGCGCGACGGGGCTAGGAGAGGCGCGGCGGGGCCTAGTTAGAGTAGGAGCGGAAGCGGTAGGTGGGGGATCCTAACCTACGCGTGATACCATGACAAAGTGGGAAACTGAATGATTGAGTAGAGAGTGAGTACAGGTGAATATACCTAAGTGTTGTACCCTCTAAGAGATGGCCCTATACAGTCTATGCAAACATAGGAGATACACATGTTTGACACTGATTACAGCGCATACGCCCTCGACTCTCGGAAGTCCAGGCTCGGCCAACTTCTTCGGTCCCGAACCACTTTGCGAACCCAAACCTCGATGCGCAGCGCTTCCGTGGCTTTTCCAACCGAATCGCCCCAACCTGTTTGCGTGGTTCTCGGCTAGCTCAGTTCGTGCTTATAAATGCCTAGGCCCTCATTTGTATCGACACTGTTGAATCTAAGACTTCTTTATTACACTACCTGTTATTACTCTGATTCATTCATAACACAAATCCAAAAGCCACAGCTCGGTGCTTTCCAGGCACGTTTCAGCCACGCGATCCACAAGCATAGATGCAATGGGTAAAGCCAAGGTAGAAAGCGACGGCCCTCCGTCCGCCCACCCCGCGTCGTCCGATCACCGCGTGCTCGCCTCCGTCTCCCGCGCCTCTGCGCCCACCGCGCCCAGCTCCCGCTCCGCCCGCCACAGCAGCAGCGGCGGCGATGGGGAAACCCCAGGAGGCGGCGCAGCCGTGCAGTCCGCCTGCGGGGCGAGCGGAGGAAGCGGAGGGCGGGGGGGCAGGGGGACGGGCGGCGGGCTGATGGCGGATGATGGGGTTGAGTCGGCGAATCGGCGAGAAGGCGGGGGTGCGGCTGGAGTGGCGGGATCGGCGCCGATATCCCGGCGGCGCATGCGGCTGAGGCAAGGCGAGGCGATGCGGCGGCGAAGCAGCGACACGTGGGGGTCGGTGCTGGGCGGACTGACCGCGTGGTGGCCGGGCAGGGCGCGCCTGGGGGGCACGCGCAGAGGCGCTTTCAGCCGCAACATCGCTGGTACCGCCGGCACCAGCAGCAGCAGCGGCAGACTGCAGGGCAATCGGCGACAGGCGAAGGCGGCGAAAGGATTACCGCTTTCGCTTTGGCTGTTCCTGACGACGGCGATCGTGCTGGCCGTGGTGGCGGGCAGCGTGAAGCTCATGCACGGCGACGACGCGCCCCCCGCGCGCCCCCTCGCCGCGCGCTCGCTCTTCCACCTCCTGCCCGACGCGCGCGCCGCCAGAGGCGCGGGTGCCGCCAGAGCCGTCGGCGGGGGGGGCGGGGATGGCAGGCGCGTGGCGGATGATGCTGTGGGCGGTGGGTCGTTGGACGGTGCGTTGGTGGCGGGAGTGGCGACAGGGGTGGAAGGAGGAGGTGGGGATGGAGGAGGAGAGGGAGGGGGGAGCGAGGGGATGGCAGCGGTAGAACATGAGGGTGTATTGGTGGGGGGAGGCGCAGGGGATGGCGGGGATGGCATGGGTGGTGATGCGGGATGGGAGGACGACGAGGAGGAGGGCGGAGAGGGGGGGGAAGGGGGAGGGAGTGGCGCTGGTGTGGCAGCAGACACTGGTGCTGACGGGGAAGCGCGTGACGAGGCAGATGGGGACCCAAAGGAAGGGGCGAGTGAGAGTGAGGGCGAGGGCGAGGGGGAGAGTGAGGGCGAGGGCGAGGGGGAGAGTGAGGGCGAGGCAGCAGCAGTGAGAGGGCTGGGTCGGTGGGCGGGTCCGTTTGACGCTATTCAGGATGAGGCAGTGCTCAAGCATGGTCTCACTGCCTATGGCGTGCGCACGCCATCATCCTCAGCAGCAGCAGCAGCACCACGGCAGTGTCGGCAGGCGGGTGTGTTCAGGGCAGCGGTGGCGGGGCGGTCAGTGTTGATAGTGCTGCACGAGGCGTCGCTGACGGGCGCACCGCTAGCCGGTATGGAGCTGGCGGAGGAGGTGGCGCTGTGCGTGGGGGCGGGCAGAGACTCCGCTGCACGCAGGGCGGGGCAGGGGGGAGCGGCTCAGGTGCAGCGCAGGCTGCTGGGGAGTGAAGGGGAGGGGGAGAGGCGGGAGGGGTGCTATGGTGGTTGTGGGGATGCTAGGGTGGGCGTGCGGCGGTTGCTGGTGGGGGATGGGGGGGAGAGGGCTCAGCAAGTGAGAGGGAGGGGTGTGGGTGGTGGCAGGGCTGGTGGGAGAGTTGCCCGAGGAGGCAAGGGGCGCAAGGGGCAGCGTGCACAGCAGCGGCAGCAGCGGGTGGAGCAGCAGCGGCTGCGGAGGAGGCAGCGACGGCAGCAGCTGCAGCAGCGGCAGGCGGCAGCAGCGCAGAAGGCGGGCGTGGTGCGGGGGCGGGCGGGCGTGCACGTGCTGCTGCTGAACCGCAAGGGCGGGCTGCTGCCCGAGCTGCACCGCCGCGGGCTCAACGTGCTCAAGAGCAAGGGCAGCGACAGCTGGCGCGCCGCCATGGCAGCACATGTGGTCATTGCTAGCTCTGCCACTGCAGCCTCGTGGATCGGTGAGAGAGAGTGGAATGGGTTGGTGAGTATGCGTTGGTGAGAGGGCTGAGTGTGGCTGAATCAGCAATGGCTGAGAATGCTGTTGTGCTGGGAAGGGAACTATGGGACGGACTGTGATGCTGCTTGGCACGAGACCATAACATGCTTGCACGCATGTATGGTAGCCAGTCTGGCTCAGTCAGTTCATCTAAGCGCCCGCAGTGCCCCACATGCATGTACCCCCTTACTCTCCCTGCTCCCTCCAGGGGCTTACTTGGCGACGTGCAGCGTTGACAGCGCTGCCAACAGCACTGGTGGCGAGGGTGCAGTAGCAGCAGCAGGCACGGACGCCACCATGACCACCGCTTCCACTCTCCCTGTGCCTGGAGAGGCCCCTGGACTGAACGTGTGTGGGCAGCGCCTCGTGTGGTGGCTCATGGAGAACCGCCGCGAGTACTTTGACCAGGCCAAACCCCTGCTGCCTCGTGTCAGCACCCTCATCTTCATCTCCCACTCCCAGGCCGCCACGTGGCGTGCGTGGGCGGCGGCAGAGAGCATACAACTGCCCGGCAAGCAGCATGTGATTCCGCTGTCCATCAACGCGGAGCTCGCCGTCATTGCGGGCCTTGCCCCGCTGCTGCCACCGCCTCCCCTCCCACTTCCTACTGACGCTACAACAGCAGCAGCAGCTGCAGGGGAGGGCCTGGAGGCAGCAGGCATGGGGGATGGGGCAGGTACAGCGGGGTCAGCTGGGCTGGCAGCAGCATCAGCAGCAGCGCGGGCGGAGATGCGGCGGCGGGTGCGTGCACGCATAGGGGCGCGGGGGGGCGACATGGTGGTGCTGTGCCTGAGCTCGGTGAACCCGGGCAAGGGGCAGCTGGGGTTGCTGCAGGCCGCGCTGCAGGTGTGGGCGTCTAAGGGCGAGGTGGGCATGGCGGGGGCCAGGCACGCAGGCGACACACAGGGGGAGCAGCTGGGCTTAAAGGAGGGTGGGGAGGTGGGTGGGGAGAGGGCGAGTGGAGAGGCAGTGGGGGCGGCTGGTGCGGGCAGAAGAAGGGTGCTGCAGAATGAAGCAGGGATAGGCAGTGTGGGTGAAGCAGGTGCTGCTGCTGGAGCAGTCCCCATGGCAGGGCAGGGGAGGCAGGGGCAGGGCCTAGCGTTCAGCCATCCTAGGTCACAGCAGCAGCAGCAGCAGCAGCGGTGGCGGCAGCGGCGGCTGATAGTGGTGGTGGGGGCGATGAATGGGAAGAGCAACAAGGGCGAGTACATAGTGCGCATGGCGGAGGCCGTGCGCGAGAGGATGGGCGATGCACACGTGGCGGCGCAGGTGAGGGCGGGCGGCATCGTGTGGGTGAACGGCACGCTCAAGGTGGCACCACTCTATGCTGCTGCTGACACCTATGTCATGAACGCACAGGTGAGATCTTTGGGGGGTGGGGGGGAGGAGGGAAAACGGTGAATGCGTTAAAGGGCATATCTTGAAGTTCAGGCAGGAGTAGGGACTGCATGTAAATCTTTGTAGAATTGGTGCATTCCTCATGTGTGCCCCCCTGCAGTCAGGCCAGGCAAGGCACCTTTGTTTCCTTGTGTGAAGTCTGGCCTTGTTCGTTGCAAACTAACTCCACACCCTGTGTATCTCTGTTCCCCCCCCTCCTATCAGGGCATTGGGGAGACCTTTGGCCGTGTCACGGTGGAGGCCATGGCCTTCCAACTGCCTGTCAGTGCCTATCCACCCTCGCCTTCTCTCTTTCCAACGGTCTCTCTCTCTCTCTCTCTCTCTCTCTCTCTCTCTCTCTCTCTCTCTCTCTCTCTCTCTCTCTCTCTCTCTCTCTCTCATGGTCCTTTGTTGCTGGGGAATCCTGAGTACAAGCTAGGCAGGTGGAACAGGCATAGGCAAATACAGCTTGGGGGAAGGTCTGGTACCCGTCCCTACCCCCCCCCCTAGGGTCTCTCTCTCTCAAGCGGTCCGTTTATTGCTTGGAATCCTGGGTACAGGCTAGGCAGGCAGGAGGCAACAAGTCAAGGTACGTGCATGTTTAGGGGCTCGATTCTACTCGAGCTCCCCTAGGGGCTCTGCTATGGCAAAGTAGACATGGGCACAAGCCGAGCCACATCCAGCTCGATCCGGCTCGGCTCGACTCGGCTCGTACACAATGTCCTCGTCGAGCCGAGGTCGAGCCGGCTCGTTCCCGGCTCGATTTCGAGCCAGGTGGCTCGCCACTCGATTTCAAGGGTAAATTTCCCCCTCGACAAAACGTGTCTCCCGTTTCTCTCTCCCGCCAACAACTCCTAGTCTATGTTCCCGAAATCGCTCTAGCGGTGCAGCGTTTATCGTTTAAACGCTGCGTTTAAAGGGTAAACGCTAAACGCTTGGCCAAAATGTTTGACGCGGAATTCTTTCCCGCGACATTGCGACCTCGCGAATTCAACCAGTCGCAACCCCAAACTTTGACGACGAAAAACACATCCAACCCTTTTGCCCCGCTCAACCGCACTGCACACTACTGCATCTACAACTTCCAACCTAACCTCTTGCACCCTTCTTCCTCCTCACAATCCACTTCCCGTCAATTTCGCGAACCCTAGAATTCTGCGCGCCTAGGAGTATCTCATTAGGTTAGTTTGCGCGAGAAATCTTAAGCAGCCCGCGCCACTCTTAACAACGCGTGCTTGCATAGGCTCCACCCACACTACTGTTGGCTTAAGCACATGCTAGGCGAGTCGAGCCGAGCCGGCTCGCCGTCGAGCCAGCCCTGGCTCGCCCACAGAAATGCAAGCCGAGCCAGGCATGTTTGGTGCCCGGCTCGACTCGAGCCGAGCCAGGCTCGACGGCAAGCCGGCTCGGCTCGACCCCTGGACGAGCCGAGCCGAGCCAGGCTCGGCTCATGCCCATGTCTATGGCAAAGCAGTCCCCAGGTGCCATGTCGGCGTCAGGGGTGCCCACGGGGGTGTGGGGGGCAGGGGAGGCTTCATTAACCTTGCCCAGGTAAGCCAAGGCCTGCGCCCGCTGTAGCGTCACTGACCAGCGTTGGCGGAACTGGTGGAGCAGTTTTGCTGCTTGGTAGGAAGTGGGGTCCGCGTTGAAGAGCCTCCTGGCACCTGTGTCTGCCAGAAGCTTCAGGAAGGTGGGGACTTCGGCGCAGGGGCAGCCGTATGTCTCGACCGCCAGTGGGAAGAAACCAGCGTCGGGGCCCTGTTGCGGTAATGGTGGATTTTCTTATCGGCCTGCTCTCGGGCCATGTATCCTCGACCTTTTCGTGCGTCCGGGTCCCGGCTGCTGATGGGGTCTGTGACGGTGACGTCACAGATCCAGACAGCGCTGGAGCTGCGGTCGCGAAGTGCGAGGTCGGCCTTGTGGCCGTCCACAGGGCTGTAGATGGTGGTCTCCTTGGTGACTATGAAGTCAGCGTCCCGGGCCATCCGGATGCTCTCATCCCGCAAGGCGTTATGGGTGTCTGTCCGTCCGTGTCCGGTGCCACACCGAAAAAGGTGGTTGGGCAGCCTTGTGTCGAGGATTTCGAATTCCTCGGCGCAGTTGCAGGTGCGGGGGGCTGGGAACGGAAGGCCGAGGCGGAAGGCCAGGGCAATGGCGAAGTGTGGAGCTTCAAGGCGGAGGGATGGGAAGATTGGGATGGCATGGAGCCAATCTCCTGCTCCATATCCAGCCAAGGAGAAGAGGCACTGCGTATGGCCGGAGTGGGGGTTTGGGTCCATTGTCCGTGAGGTCGCCACCTGGTCGGCGTACCGCACGGCCTGGACTTCGAGGGATAGGCGGTGTTCGAGAGGGGAGCCCGAGGGTCCCCCCCGCTCGGATTGTAGAAGCTCCAGGGCCCGTGGGGGCATCGCCGTTTCGCACTTCGCCAGCCAGGTATGCAAGTGGGTGGGGCTGGTGAAGGGTGGTGTGAGGTGGCGTACAGAGTCGGCTAGGGGCCCTCTGGACGCTGCTGGGAGGGCAGCTAGGAGGCCCTGGGCTTGGGTGACGCTGGTGAGGAAGGCTGGATGCCCTTCAATCGCTGGGTCGGTGAGCCCCAGCCCTCTAAGAGAGGGAGGGAGGGACGCTTGGGCCCAGGTACGCGCTTGCTCTGACTCGCCTCGTGGTGGTTGGAGGTTGCAGGCGCGTAGTAGGGTGTGGAATAGCTCTCTGCCCCACTCGGACTAGACCTCCAGGGGCAGGAAATCAAGGGGGGTGGTGCGGGTTAAGTACGAGACGCGCCTAGATACGCAGCGTGTGAGGAGGAGGGAGGAGGACTGTGGGTCCATCGTGGCCAGTGTGGCGAGGGGTTCGGCAAGCACGGCCAGCTGGGTGCGGAGGAAGCCGGCTGTGCCTTCTGGCGTGCCTATAAAACTGCCAAGCACGCGGAAGGCAGTCAGTCGCAAGGCGCTCGGCTGACCATGCTGCGCATTTTGCGGGGTTGTGGGAGAGACCGATGCGTTCCATGGCGGCGGTGAAGTCTAGGAACGCCGAGGTGCAGGCGTCCGGATCGCCCACGAAAGTCACGTCGTCTGCGTAAGCGAGGCAGAGAACCCCGGGGGAGGCCGCCACGGTGGCCTGGAGTACTGGGTGGATGACAGCCGCAAAGAGGAGGGGGCCCATGGGGTCCCCTTGGCGGACTCCCCGCGCGCTCAGTAGGGGTGGGCTACCGAACTCTGCGTCGAGGTAAAGGAGGGACGGTGCCCCATACGAAAACTGTATGAACGGTAGGAGGGGGCGCAGAGGCGAGTTATTGATGGCGTGAATGATGGCCCCGCGGTCGACGCTGTTGAACGCGTTTGAGAGGTCGACTTGCAAAATCAGCGAGCCTGGGCGCGCGGAGGTAAAGCCCCTGGTGGCGTGGATGATGATTTCTCCTCCGCTCCTGATAGCTACCCCGAATTGGTGTGGTAGGAAATAGTCTTGCGCCGGCTGCGTTGAGGAGATGAGTGCGGATTTAGCCGCTAGGCGGTTTAGACACTCGCCTATAGCGATGGGGCGAGTACCCCCATCTGGTTTGGTAAGTGCCAGGAGGCGTGAAGGAGTCACGAGCTGGCTGACTTCGTGCGGCAGGTTACCTGCGACTAGGCGCTGAACGAGCTCGTGAAGGTGTTTGGCGACTGAGGGGTTGGATAGCGAGGCATCGCGAAGGTGCTCGAAGGTCATTCCCGAGGGCCCCGCTCCAACCCCATTTTCGCAGCGAGAGAGGAGCTTCGCGAAATCAGCGAAGTCGATTGTCGGCAATCTGCAGTCTTCGCCCAGCTGCGGCCAGCTGAGGTCTTTGACGAGCGGGGGGGGGTGTTTTGACTTCAGCGCATCCAGGACAGCGGGGGTGGACTTGCTGACTGGGGTTGAAGTCAACGTGAGCAGTGCTCGTCGCAAGCTGCCTTGTCGTACCAACCCCTCGGCTCGGGATATTTTCCCAAGGGTGTCAGGTACGTGGCGGGTGGGGGTGGCAGGGTGACACGGAGGCGGCTGCTTGGTACAGTGTGTCCCATTGGCCCGCAAGAAATTGTCGAAGGCGTTTTTCCGCCGCGGGCCAATCAGGACGTTTCGGTGAAGGTAGGCGAAGGGTGAGGCACAGGAGGTAGAGTAACAGGATCCAACCCTCGATGGAGGTTGGATGTTTGGCGAGGAAAAGGAGGGGTGTCACTGAGGCGAGCGCGAAAAGTTGACGGATTTGGGGGGGTAACCGGCGGGAGAGAGGGGGTTGGCGACTGTCGCAGAGAATTGCGATGTCCCAAGTGGCGATCTCGGCGAATCGGGAGGCGTTATTTGCCAGTTCTTCTGGGGACAGCTGCGGAGCCACCTGGGGATGGGTGTCCAGCAGTGCCCGAGTATTACGCATGCGGCTGGACCCTCGTCCCCTAGATCTGGGGGTTGGGCCAGCTTCTCTTCCTCCAGCGCGCCTGTTCGTCTCGACGCCTTCCTCCTCACTGGATGTCTTAGTTGTGGACTCTCCTTGCTCCCCGGGTATATAGGTTCCATCGGCCCGTTCCTCCTCACCAGTTGTTCCTTGTAGTTCCGAAGCTCTTAAAGCCCTGTTCGCAGCCTGCTGGAATCCGTTCAGCGGTCCTCCGTCGGAGGACAAATCGCCGTGCCTAGCCGTCCCACGACCGCGCCCTCTCACCGCCCGCCTATCGTGTCTTCTGCGTCCTCCTCCTTGATTTCCTTTCGGGGCTACCTCGGTCGCTGTCCGACGTTCGTGTCGAGTTGTGGGGGGAGCCGAGCGCGGCGCGCCGCTTCGTGATGGACCAGCTAATGGGGTTCGGGCTGGGCCGACCCGTTCGTGAGCGCTCTGCCGATTTGGAGAGCACCGGGGATAGTGTGTCCCCCCAAGGTCAGGCGACTCCTCCGGCCCAGTCAAACCGTGATTGGGAGCGCGGGCTCCTCGTCCCCTCGACGGCTCGCCAACAGACCCCCGAGCGGATGCGTGGGCGATCGCGGAGTCGACCATCCGCGCCGCTGAGGCACGAGGAGAAATCTCTCCGAGCGTGCCTTGGAGACAGGTCGTGGACCTGTGACGCATGGCGAGGTGCATCAGCCGCCGCACCAGCAACATCCCTCTCGCCGTGGGACGCCCCAGCGCCGCCCGCAGGCGGGGCCGGTGCAGCAGCGTCGGACTCCGCAGGCGCCGCGCGGGCGTTCGGGCCGGCGCGTCGGCTGGAGGGCTGGCGGGGGGAGTAACTGCGGATCGGCGGCGAAGAGGCGCCTGGGGCGGGCTGCCGCGACTCTCGAGGGCTTGG